GTGTGCTAAAATTTCTGATTCAGAGCTTAATAACGTAATGAATACAGTGGTACCAATTGTGAATGTCCTTGTTGCTCGATCTGCTTTGACTCACAGTTTCAAGCACTGCTGGAAGAGACGGATAGTGCTTATAATGACATTCCACTTCACACAGTGATGAGCTCCCAAAATGTTAAGATCCGGTTCCCTACCGGGGGGGAGCGGCAGGGCTCCCGCGGCTATTTAAAAGACCGAGGCAGCAGAGGCAGCTGGAGCCCCAGCCCTTTAAATAGCCCCCACGAGCCTCCCCTGCTACCCCAGGGCTCCTGGGGGCTATTTAAAGGGCTGGGGCTCCAGCTGCCTCTGCCCCCTACCCCCCCCCCCGCTCCTTTTAAATAACCGTGGAAGGCCCCACCGCTTCCCCCAGGGCTCTGGCCACTATTTAAAGGACCGGGGCGGCAGAGGCAGCTGGAGCTCCGGCCCTTTAAATAGCCCCTGGAGCCCCCTGCTATCCCCAGGGCTCTGGGCCCATACTCACCTCCTGGTTCCCTACTGGGTCTTCAGCAGCACTTCGGTGGTGAAGACCCCTGCCGCTGAAGTGCCGCCAAGAGGACCTGGTAGGGAACCAGTTCTTAAAATTTTGGGAGCCCTGGGAGTAGCGGGGGGCTCCAGGGGCTATTTAAAGGGCCAGGGCGCCAGCTGTCTCTGCCGCCCCGGTCCTTTAAATAGTGGCCGGAGCCCTGGGGGAAGCAGTGGGGCTCCCACGGCTATTTAAAGGAGCGGGGGGGGGAGGGGGCAGAGGCAGCTGGAGCCCCAGCCCTTTAAATAGCACCCAGGAGCCCTGGGGTAGCAGGGGAGGCTCTGAGGGCTATTTAAAGGGCTCGGGCTCCAGCTGCCTCTGCCACCCCGGTCCTTTAAATAGCTGCAGGAGCCCCACTGCTTCCCCCAGGGCTCAGGCACCCCTCTGAGAGGGGGGGAAGCAGAGGAGGGACCGGGGGAGCTTTGGCTTCCCCAGCTGGGAGCTCAGGTGGGCCAGACAGGATGGTCCCGCGGGCCGGATGTGGCCCACGGACCGGAGTTTGCTCACCCGCCCACCCCTTTAGGAACCGGTTCTACACTGGCTTCTAAATTTAGCAACCAGTTCTTGCAAACCGGTGCAAACCGGCTCCAGCTCACCACTGACTTCACAGCAACATTTGGTGGCTAAGTCGTGGCAAGGTTTAGGTCCGCTTTGTAAACTGTTTTGATGCCATCAAGGCCTTTGTGTCAGAAAAAGGACAAAACTACCCCGAACTGGATGATGACAAATTGCTGTGTAAGCTCATGTTTTTAACTGACATCACCGCTCAGCTAAATGAACTCAACCTCCGTCTCCAGGGTGCAGGGCAAACGGTTCTGGATCTTTATGAAGGCTAGAAGGCATTTGTTGTAAAACTAGCAGTTTTTTCTCAGGATATTCAAACTTTGACTTTCCGCTACTTCCAACACATAAAAGAGCTATCAACACGTTGCACTGTCAGTGTCGATGAGATTGGAATGTACATGCAAGAACTAGAATCAGAATTTTCTGACAGATTTCAAGATTTCCAGTGATTTGGCCCAATGCTTTCTTTTCTAATTAAACCTGAAAAGTTCAACGAAAGCAACTTGGATTTGTCTGTATTTCAGTGGATGGGTGTTGAAGATTTTGAAATGCAGCTCATTCAGTTAAAAAGCTCAGAATTGTGGGCATCAGAGTTTGGAGATCTGCGGAGTGCACTTAAAGCTACCGAGAGAGATCATGGGGCCTCTATTCTGACCTGCTGGACGTCCCTGCCAGTGAAATTTAACTGTTTGAAGAAAATTGCATTTGCAATGCTTTCAGCATTTGGATCCACATACCTGTGTGAACAGGTATTTTCACACATGGACTCTGTCCTCTGTCCCTCTCAGAGCCGGTTAACTGATCATTCAGAAGCCTGTGTGTAGCTTAAAGTATCCAAATACATGCCAGACATTGGAAAACTCAGCAAGAAAAAACAAGGACAAGAATCACACTAAACTGATAAGAGCTGCATTTTAATTTAAATTTTAAATAAGGCTTCTTAAACATTTAAAAACCTTATTTACTTTACATACAATG